ACACTACGATTTATTCTATATATGGCGGCCATCGGAGGATTGGTGGAGATATATATGGCGGCCATCGGAGGATTGGTGGAGATATATATGGCGGGCATCGGAGGATTGGTGGAGATATATATGGCGGGCATCGGAGGATTGGTGGAGATATATATGGCGGCCATCGGAGGATTGGTGGAGATATATATGGCGGCCATCGGAGGATTGGTGGAGATATATATGGCGGGCATCGGAGGATTGGTGGAGATATATATGGCGGGCATCGGAGGATTGGTGGAGATATATATGGCGGCCATCGGAGGATTGGTGGAGATATATATGGCGGCCATCGGAGGATTGGTGGAGATATATATGGCGGGCAGCGGAGGATTGGTGGAGATATATATGGCGGCCATCGGAGGATTGGTGGAGATATATATGGCGGGCAGCGGAGGATTGGTGGAGATATATATGGCGGCCATCGGAGGATTGGTGGAGATATATATGGCGGCCATCGGAGGATTGGTGGAGATATATATGGCGGGCAGCGGAGGATTGGTGGAGATATATATGGCGGCCATCGGAGGATTGGTGGAGATATATATGGCGGCCATCGGAGGATTGGTGGAGATATATATGGCGGGCAGCGGAGGATTGGTGGAGATATATATGGCGGCCATCGGAGGATTGGTGGAGATATATATGGCGGCCATCGGAGGATTGGTGGAGATATATATGGCGGCCATCGGAGGATTGGTGGAGATATATATGGCGGGCAGCGGAGGATTGGTGGAGATATATATGGTGGCCATCGGAGGATTGGTGGAGATATATATGGTGGGCATCGGAGGATTGGTGGAGATATATATGGCGGGCATCGGAGGATTGGTGGAGATATATATGGCGGGCATCGGAGGATTGGTGGAGATATATATGGCGGCCATCGGAGGATTGGTGGAGATATATATGGCGGCCATCGGAGGATTGGTGGAGATATATATGGCGGGCATCGGAGGATTGGTGGAGATATATATGGCGGCCATCGGAGGATTGGTGGAGATATATATGGCGGGCATCGGAGGATTGGTGGAGATATATATGGCGGGCATCGGAGGATTGGAGATATATATGGCGGGCATCGGAGGATTGGTGGAGATATATATGGCGGCCATCGGAGGATTGGTGGAGATATATATGGTGGCCATCGGAGGATTGGTGGAGATATATATGGCGGCCATCGGAGGATTGGTGGAGATATATATGGCGGGCAGCGGAGGATTGGTGGAGATATATATGGCGGCCATCGGAGGATTGGTGGAGATATATATGGCGGCCATCGGAGGATTGGTGGAGATATATATGGCGGCCATCGGAGGATTGGTGGAGATATATATGGCGGCCATCGGAGGATTGGTGGAGATATATATGGCGGCCATCGGAGGATTGGTGGAGATATATATGGCGGCCATCGGAGGATTGGTGGAGATATATATGGCGGGCATCGGAGGATTGGTGGAGATATATATGGTGGCCATCGGAGGATTGGTGGAGATATATATGGTGGCCATCGGAGGATTGGTGGAGATATATATGGCGGCCATCGGAGGATTGGTGGAGATATATATGGCGGGCAGCGGAGGATTGGTGGAGATATATATGGCGGCCATCGGAGGATTGGTGGAGATATATATGGCGGGCAGCGGAGGATTGGTGGAGATATATATGGTGGCCATCGGAGGATTGGTGGAGATATATATGGAGGCCATCGGAGGATAGGTGGAGATATATATGGTGGCCATCGGAGGATTGGTGGAGATATATATGGCGGCCATCGGAGGATTGGTGGAGATATATATGGAGGCCATCGGAGGATAGGTGGAGATATATATGGTGGCCATCGGAGGATTGGTGGAGATATATATGGCGGCCATCGGAGGATTGGTGGAGATATATATGGTGGGCAGCGGAGGATTGGTGGAGATATATATGGCGGCCATCGGAGGATTGGTGGAGATATATATGGCGGCCATCGGAGGATTGGTGGAGATATATATGGCGGGCAGCGGAGGATTGGTGGAGATATATATGGCGGGCAGCGGAGGATTGGTGGAGATATATATGGCGGCCATCGGAGGATTGGTGGAGATATATATGGCGGCCATCGGAGGATTGGTGGAGATATATATGGTGGGCAGCGGAGGATTGGTGGAGATATATATGGCGGGCAGCGGAGGATTGGTGGAGATATATATGGCGGCCATCGGAGGATTGGTGGAGATATATATGGCGGCCATCGGAGGATTGGTGGAGATATATATGGCGGGCAGCGGAGGATTGGTGGAGATATATATGGCGGCCATCGGAGGATTGGTGGAGATATATATGGCGGGCAGCGGAGGATTGGTGGAGATATATATGGCGGCCATCGGAGGATTGGTGGAGATATATATGGCGGCCATCGGAGGATTGGTGGAGATATATATGGCGGCCATCGGAGGATTGGTGGAGATATATATGGCGGGCATCGGAGGATTGGTGGAGATATATATGGCGGGCATCGGAGGATTGGTGGAGATATATATGGCGGCCATCGGAGGATTGGTGGAGATATATATGGCGGCCATCGGAGGATTGGTGGAGATATATATGGCGGGCAGCGGAGGATTGGTGGAGATATATATGGCGGCCATCGGAGGATTGGTGGAGATATATATGGTGGCCATCGGAGGATTGGTGGAGATATATATGGTGGGCAGCGGAGGATTGGTGGAGATATATATGGTGGCCATCGGAGGATTGGTGGAGATATATATGGTGGCCATCGGAGGATTGGTGGAGATATATATGGTGGCCATCGGAGGATTGGTGGAGATATATATGGTGGCCATCGGAGGATTGGTGGAGATATATATGGCGGCCATCGGAGGATTGGTGGAGATATATATGGCGGCCATCGGAGGATTGGTGGAGATATATATGGCGGCCATCGGAGGATTGGTGGAGATATATATGGCGGGCAGCGGAGGATTGGTGGAGATATATATGGCGGGCATCGGAGGATTGGTGGAGATATATATGGCGGCCATCGGAGGATTGGTGGAGATATATATGGCGGGCATCGGAGGATTGGTGGAGATATATATGGCGGGCATCGGAGGATTGGTGGTGAGATATATATGGTGGCCATCGGAGGATTGGTGGAGATATATATGGCGGCCATCGGAGGATTGGTGGAGATATATATGGTGGGCAGCGGAGGATTGGTGGAGATATATATATGGTGGCCATCGGAGGATTGGTGGAGATATATATGGCGGCCATCGGAGGATTGGTGGAGATATATATGGTGGCCATCGGAGGATTGGTGGAGATATATATGGCGGCCATCGGAGGATTGGTGGAGATATATATGGTGGCCATCGGAGGATTGGTGGAGATATATATGGCGGGCAGCGGAGGATTGGTGGAGATATATATGGTGGCCATCGGAGGATTGGTGGAGATATATATGGCGGCCATCGGAGGATTGGTGGACATTGATGATTGAACTTGATTTTTTTTTTTATGTTGTGAGCCATTGAAAGGCAGAATATGAGGACTGAGTACTGAAGTGACTTTTTATAATATTATATTTATTTTATTTTATTTCTTATCCTTTTTTTATATATTTATTTGTGATATATACTTTTGGGAACATTGCTATTAGCATATATATACTTTTGGGGAAAGTGCATCTTTATACTATTTATAGCCTTATTGTATTGAGTGATTTAAGGGATACCGTAAAATTTACATATATTAAAAATAGAGCATTCTTCGCTCCCACTAATGCCAGGATACTGTCTACTGGCCATAATCCAGCCCCCCTGAAGTCTGAAGGATAGTAAAATCTTTAAAACGTTTGGAGACCCCTTGTCTGGAGGATCTCTCCTCGGTTGGTCCGGAGGATCTCTCCTCGCTTGGTTCCGGAGGATCTCTCCCTCGCTTGGTTCCGGAGGATCTCTCCTCGCTTGGTTCCGGAGGATCTCTCCTCGCTTGGTTCCGGAGGATCTCTCCTCGCTTGGTTCCGGAGGATCTCTCCTCGCTTGGTTCCGGAGGATCTCTCCTCGCCTGGTTCCGGAGGATCTCTCCTCGCCTGGTTCCGGAGGATCTCTCCTCGCCTGGTTCCGGAGGATCTCTCCTCGCCTGGTTCCGGAGGATCTCTCCTCGCTTGGTTCCGGAGGATCTCTCCTCGCTTGGTTCCGGAGGATCTCTCCTCGCTTGGTTCCGGAGGATCTCTCCTCGCTTGGTTCCGGAGGATCTCTCCTCGCTTGGTTCCGGAGGATCTCTCCTCGCTTGGTCTCGAGGATCTCTCCTCGCTTGGTCTCGAGGTTCTCTCCTCGCTTGGTCTCGAGGTTCTCTCCTCGCTTGGTCTCGAGGTTCTCCTCGCTTGGTCTCGAGGTTCTCTCCTCGCTTGGTCTCGAGGATCTCTCCTCGCTTGGTCTCGAGGTTCTCTCCTCGCTTGGTCTCGAGGATCTCTCCTCGGTTGGTTCCGGAGGTTCTCTCCTCGGTTGGTCTCGAGGTTCTCTCCTCGGTTGGTCTCGAGGTTCTCTCCTCGGTTGGTCTCAAGGATCTCTCCTCGGTTGGTCTCAAGGATCTCTCCTCGGTTGGTTCCGGAGGTTCTCTCCTTGGTTGGTCTCGAGGTTCTCTCCTCAGTTGGTTCCAGAGGATCTCTGCTCGGTTTATCAAGCCTCCAGTTCTTACACATCACAATGTATTGTCTTTGTACCTTCATTGCTGATATCCGTTTATATTGGGGCCCCCGGTTCTGGTTGGACGGGCTCCTGTCATCCTGATGTCCCGTATTTCCGGTGGAGAAGGTTGGGAATCTGCAGGTGTCGGTGGGGAAATAAAGGAGGATGAAGATGAGGCTGATGTGTGATGTGACGTCTATGCTCCTCCCACAATGGTGATCCAGTAGATTTGCTTGGGGGGGTGGAGCTCTCCCTGGATGCCACCAGATTGCGGCAGATCTCCTCCAATCAGATTAGACTGGTCATGGGAGTGGTGGAGGATTTCCTGGACTCCCTCTGACTGCTACGGCTGACCTGCACCACCTGGGTGAGGACGCTTCCTCCGTTACTGACCGTCGAGTGTTTCTGCTGCCGCAGCCAGAGGTGTTTCCGGAGGCGATATCTGCGCCACTTCCGCTGGATCTCAAACTGGACCTGGAGAGCCGGAGAGACGGGAATGTCAGAAGGAGGCGTAATACAGCGACAGGCGAACAGACAGAGGGAGGAGTAATACAGCGACAGGCGAGCAGACAGAGGGAGGCCTAATACAGCGACAGGCGAACAGACAGAGGGAGGAGTAATACAGCGACAGGCGAGCAAAGACAGAGGGAGGAGTAATACAGCGACAGGCGAGCAGACAGAGGGAGGCCTAATACAGCGACAGGCGAACAGACAGAGGGAGGAGTAATACAGCGACAGGCGAGCAGACAGAGGGAGGCCTAATACAGCGACAGGCGAACAGACAGAGGGAGGCGTAATACAGCGACAGGCGAACAGACAGAGGGAGGAGTAATACAGCGACAGGCGAACAGACAGAGGGAGGCGTAATACAGCTACAGGCGAACAGACAGAGGGAGGAATAATACAGCGACAGGCGAGCAAAGACAGAGGGAGGAGTAATACAGCGACAGGCGAACAGACAGAGGGAGGCGTAATACAGCGACAGGCGAACAGACAGAGGGAGGAGTAATACAGCGACAGGCGAGCAAAGACAGAGGGAGGAGTAATACAGCGACAGGCGAGCAAAGACAGAGGGAGGAGTAATACAGCGACAGGCGAACAGACAGAGGGAGGAGTAATACAGCGACAGGCGAGCAAAGACAGAGGGAGGAGTAATACAGCGACTGGCAAACAGACAGAGGGAGGCGTAATACAGCGACTGGCAAACAGACAGAGGGAGGAGTAATACAGCGACAGGCGAACAGACAGAGGGAGGCGTAATACAGCGACAGGCGAACAGACAGAGGGAGGACTAATACAGCGACAGGCGAACAGACAGAGGGAGGAGTAATACAGCGACTGGCGAGCAAAGACAGAGGGAGGAGTAATACAGCGACAGGCGAACAGACAGAGGGAGGAGTAATACAGCGACAGGCGAACAGACAGAGGGAGGCGTAATACAGCGACAGGCGAACAGACAGAGGGAGGAGTAATACAGCGACAGGCGAACAGACAGAGGGAGGCGTAATACAGCGACTGGCGAACAGACAGAGGGAGGCGTAATACAGCGACTGGCGAACAGACAGAGGGAGGAGTAATACAGCGACAGGCGAACAGACAGAGGGAGGAGTAATACAGCGACAGGCGAACAGACAGAGGGAGGAGTAATACAGCGACAGGCGAGCAAAGACAGAGGGAGGAGTAATACAGCGACAGGCGAGCAAAGACAGAGGGAGGTGTAATACAGCGACAGGCGAACAGACAGAGGGAGGCGTAATACAGCGACAGGCGAGCAAAGACAGAGGGAGGAGTAATACAGCGACAGGCGAACAGACAGAGGGAGGAGTAATACAGCGACAGGCAAACAGACAGAGGGAGGAGTAATACAGCGACAGGCGAACAGACAGAGGGAGGCGTAATACAGCGACAGGCGAACAGACAGAGGGAGGCGTAATAAAGCGACAGGCGAACAGACAGAGGGAGGCGTAATACAGCGACAGGCGAACAGACAGAGGGAGGCGTAATACAGCGACAGGCGAGCAGAGGGAGGGAGGAGTAATACAGCGACAGGCGAGCAAAGACAGAGGGAGGAGTAATACAGCGACAGGCGAACAGACAGAGGGAGGAGTAATACAGCGACAGGCGAACAGACAGAGGGAGGCGTAATACAGCGACTGGCGAGCAAAGACAGAGGGAGGCATAATACAGCGACAGGCGAACAGACAGAGGGAGGAGTAATACAGCGACAGGCGAGCAAAGACAGAGGGAGGTGTAATACAGCGACAGGCGAACAGACAGAGGGAGGAGTAATACAGCGACAGGCGAGCAAAGACAGAGGGAGGAGTAATACAGCGACAGGCGAACAGACAGAGGGAGGAGTAATACAGCGACAGGCGAACAGACAGAGGGAGGAGTAATACAGCGACAGGCGAACAGACAGAGGGAGGAGTAATACAGCGACAGGCGAGCAAAGACAGAGGGAGGTGTAATACAGCGACAGGCGAACAGACAGAGGGAGGTGTAATACAGCGACAGGCGAGCAAAGACAGAGGGAGGAGTAATACAGCGACAGGCGAGCAAAGACAGAGGGAGGAGTAATACAGCGACAGGCGAACAGACAGAGGGAGGAGTAATACAGCGACAGGCGAACAGACAGAGGGAGGAGTAATACAGCGACAGGCGAACAGACAGAGGGAGGAGTAATACAGCGACAGGCGAGCAAAGACAGAGGGAGGCGTAATACAGCGACAGGCGAACAGACAGAGGGAGGAGTAATACAGCGACAGGCGAGCAAAGACAGAGGAAGGCGTAATACAGCGACAGGCGAGCAGAGGGAGGGAGGCGTAATACAGCGACAGGCGAGCAAAGACAGAGGGAGGCGTAATACAGCGACAGGCGAGCAAAGACAGAGGGAGGCGTAATACAGCGACAGGCGAGCAGAGGGAGGGAGGAGTTAATACAGCGACAGGCGAGCAAAGACAGAGGGAGGCGTAATACAGCGACAGGCGAGCAATGACAGAGGGAGGCGTAATACAGCGACAGGCGAGCAAAGACAGAGGAAGGCGTAATACAGCGACAGGCGAGCAAAGACAGAAGGAGGCGTAATACAGCGACAGGCAAGCAGACAGAGGGAGGAGTAATACAGAGGGAGGCGAGCAGACAGAGGGAGGAGTAATACAGAGGGAGGCGTAATACAGCGACAGGCGAGCAGACAGAGGGAGGAGTAATACAGCGACAGGCGAGCAAAGTCAGAGGGAGGCGTAACACAGCGACAGGCGAGCAAAGACAGAGGAAGGCGTAATAGAGCGACAGGCGAGCAAAGACAGAGGGAGGCATAATACAGCGACAGGCGAGCACAGAGGGAGGAGTAATACAGCGACAGGCGAGCAAAGACAGAGGGAGGAGTAATACAGCGACAGGCGAGCAAAGACAGAGGGAGGAGTAATACAGCGACAGGCGAGCAGACAGAGGGAGGAGTAATACAGCGACAGGCGAGCACAGAGGGAGGCGTAATACAGCGACAGGCGAGCAGAAAGAGGGAGGAGTAATACAGCGACAGGCGAGCAGACAGAGGGAGGAGTAATACAGCGACAGGCGAGCAAAGTCAGAGGGAGGCGTAATACAGCGACAGGCGAGCAAAGACAGAGGAAGGAGTAATATAGCGACAGGCGAGCAAAGACAGAGGGAGGCATAATACAGCGACAGGCGAGCACAGAGGGAGGAGTAATACAGCGACAGGCGAGCACAGAGGGAGGAGTAATACAGCGACAGGCGAGCAAAGACAGAGGGAGGAGTAATACAGCGACAGGCGAGCAGACAGAGGGAGGCGTAATACAGCGACAGGCGAGCAGACAGAGGGAGGAGTAATACAGCGACAGGCGAGCAAAGACAGAGGGAGGCATAATACAGCGACAGGCGAGCACAGAGGGAGGAGTAATACAGCGACAGGCGAGCACAGAGGGAGGAGTAATACAGCGACAGGCGAGCAGAGGGAGGAGTAATACAGCGACAGGCGAGCACAGAGGGAGGAGTAATAATACAGCGACAGGCGAGCAAAGACAGAGGGAGGAGTAATACAGCGACAGGTGAGCACAGAGGGAGGAGTAATACAGCGACAGGCGAGCAAAGGCAGAGGGAGGAGTAATACAGCGACAGGCGAGCAGAGGGAGGAGTAATACAGCGACAGGCGAGCAAAGACAGAAGGAGGCGTAATACAGCGACAGGCGAGCAGACAGAGGGAGGCGTAATACAGCGACAGGCAAGCAAAGACAGAAGGAGTAATACAGCGACAGGCGAGCAAAGACAGAAGGAGTAATACAGCGACAGGCGAGCAAAGACAGAAGGAGTAATACAGCGACAGGCGAGCAGAGGGAGGAGTAATACAGCGACAGGCGAGCAGACAGAGGGAGGAGTAATACAGCGACAGGCGAGCAAAGACAGAGGGAGGAGTAATACAGCGACAGGCGAGCAGACAGAGGGAGGAGTAATACAGCGACAGGCGAGCAGACAGAGGGAGGAGTAATACAGGGACAGGCGAGCAGACAGAGGGAGGAGTAATACAGCGACAGGCGAGCAGACAGAGGGAGGAGTAATACAGCGACAGGCGAGCAGACAGAGGGAGGAGTAATACAGCGACAGGCGAGCAAAGACAGAGGGAGGTGTAATACAGCGACAGGCGAACAGACAGAGGGAGGAGTAATACAGCGACAGGCGAGCAAAGACAGAGGGAGGAGTAATACAGCGACAGGCGAACAGACAGAGGGAGGAGTAATACAGCGACAGGCGAACAGACAGAGGGAGGAGTAATACAGCGACAGGCGAACAGACAGAGGGAGGAGTAATACAGCGACAGGCGAACAGACAGAGGGAGGAGTAATACAGCGACAGGCGAGCAAAGACAGAGGGAGGTGTAATACAGCGACAGGCGAACAGACAGAGGGAGGAGTAATACAGCGACAGGCGAGCAAAGACAGAGGGAGGAGTAATACAGCGACAGGCGAGCAAAGACAGAGGGAGGAGTAATACAGCGACAGGCGAACAGACAGAGGGAGGAGTAATACAGCGACAGGCGAACAGACAGAGGGAGGAGTAATACAGCGACAGGCGAACAGACAGAGGGAGGCGTAATACAGCGACTGGCGAGCAAAGACAGAGGGAGGCGTAATACAGCGACAGGCGAACAGACAGAGGGAGGAGTAATACAGCGACAGGCGAGCAAAGACAGAGGGAGGCGTAATACAGCGACAGGCGAGCAAAGACAGAGGGAGGCGTAATACAGCGACAGGCGAGCAGAGGGAGGGAGGAGTAATACAGCGACAGGCGAACAAAGACAGAGGAAGGCGTAATACAGCGACAGGCGAGCAATGACAGAGGAAGGCGTAATACAGCGACAGGCGAGCAAAGACAGAGGAAGGCGTAATACAGCGACAGGCGAGCAAAGACAGAGGGAGGCATAATACAGCGACAGGCGAGCAGACAGAGGGAGGCGTAATACAGCGACAGGCGAGCAAAGACAGAGGGAGGCGTAATACAGCGACAGGCGAGCAGAGGGAGGGAGGAGTAATACAGCGACAGGCGAGCAATGACAGAGGGAGGCGTAATACAGCGACAGGCGAGCAAAGACAGAGTAAGGCGTAATACAGCGACAGGCAAGCAGACAGAGGGAGGAGTAATACAGCGACAGGCGAGCAGACAGAGGGAGGAGTAATACAGCGACAGGCGAGCACAGGCGAGCAAAGACAGAGGGAGGCGTAATACAGCGACAGGCGAGCAGACAGAGGGAGGAGTAATACAGCGACAGGCGAGCAGACAGAGGGAGGAGTAATACAGCGACAGGCGAGCAGACAGAGGGAGGAGTAATACAGCGACAGGCGAGCAGACAGAGGGAGGAGTAATACAGCGACAGGCGAGCAGACAGAGGGAGGAGTAATACAGCGACAGGCGAGCAAAGACCAGACTCCCCCCGGGGGCCCATTCACACCACACCGCGGTGCGGGAAAGGTGTGCTCTGTGCACATTTCCCGCACTGCCTTCCTCGTCCGCTGCGGGAGCCAATACATTGTCAATGGCAGATTGCAGACACAGTGCATTGTGGGCGTCAGATCGCTCGATGACGCAGTACCACGTGACTCGCTGCCACGCTTTTCAAAAGTAGTGCGATCCGCTGCGATCTTCAAATGAATAGGCAACAAAATCGCACTGCAGGGGATACAGAGACCACAGGGGGGAACGCACCCCACTCTCCGGGGTCAGCCTGGTGTAAACTGGCCCTCAAATTCCGTTTTGGTAAATGCATTGGAGTCAATGGGGAGGCAGAATTGGGGGGTTTATGGTGTAATGAGCTCTGGGGCCCCATTTCCACGGCCATGTTGGATTGTTGGTGTTCATTCTGATTGGTTCCCTGCAACGCACCATTGTAGGGCGCTGTAACACAAACCCCTCCCTAAAAAAAGCCACGCCCTATAAAGACTTTTTTTTTGTTTGTTTTGTAATTTCGCCCAATCAGATCACAGAAACAGATTTTTGCTTTCTGCGTAATCCATAATATGGCGGTAAAATCGCCCCTCTGATCCCAATCAGTGGAATATGGCGCACTGAGCTGACTCCTCCCCCCATCAGAAATATGATTGGCGCTCCGTGTTGCAGATTTTTATAAACCAATCACAGAGAAGAAATGGATCCCATCGCCGCTCTCCCGGATTCGCCGGATTCATAAACCTGAAATTGGCACCCGGAGAAGAATCGGCTCTGAAAATTTGCATTTTCCTGTGAAAAGCGTCGCGTGACTTCCAGCGGTCCCCGCAGCGGCCGGCTTTTCCCGTCATAATGACCCATTCTGGCCTGAATGTTCCGATGCGGGGACATGGCGCTTATGTCATCCATGCGTTCTCCGCAGTGCACTGATCCGTGCGATAATGCGTGCGTTCCCCGCAGAGCAGCGATCCGTGCGATAATGCGTGCGTTCCCCGCAGAGCAGCGATCCGTGCGATAATGCGTGCGTTCCCCGCAGAGCAGCGATCCGTGCGATAATGCGTGCGTTCCCCGCAGAGCAGCGATCCGTGCGATAATGCGTGCGTTCTCCCGCAGTGCACGATCCGTGCGGTAATGCGTGCGTTCCCCGCAGAGCAGCGATCCGTGCGATAATGCGTAATGCGTGCGTGCGTTCCCCGCAGAGCAGCGATCCGTGCGATAATGCGTGCGTTCCCCGCAGAGCAGCGATCCGTGCGATAATGCGTGCGTTCCCCGCAGAGCAGCGATCCGTGCGATAATGCGTGCGTTCCCCGCAGAGCAGCGATCCGTGCGAATAATCCGTGCGTGCGTTTCCCCGCAGAGCAGCGATCCGTGCGATAATGCGTGCGTTCCCCGCAGAGCAGCGATCCGTGCGGTAATGCGTGCGTTCCCCGCAGAGCAGCGATCCGTGCGGTAATGCGTGCGTTCCCCGCAGAGCAGCGATCCGTGCGGTAATGCGTGCGTTCCCCGCAGAGCAGCGATCCGTGCGAATCGTGCGTGCGTCCCCGCAGAGCAGCGATCCGTGCGGTAATGCGTGCGTTCCCCGCAGAGCAGCGATCCGTGCGATAATGCGTGCGTTCCCCGCAGAGCAGCGATCCGTGCGGTAATGCGTGCGTTCCCCGCAGAGCAGCGATCCGTGCGGTAATGCGTGCGTTCCCCGCAGAGCAGCGATCCGTGCGGTAATGCGTGCGTTCCCCGCAGAGCAGCGATCCGTGCGATAATGCGTGCGTTCCCCGCAGAGCAGCGATCCGTGCGATAATGCGTGCGTTCCCCGCAGAGCAGCGATCCGTGCGATAATGCGGCGTTCCCCGCAGAGCAGCGATCCGTGCGATAATGCGTGCGTTCCCCGCAGAGCAGCGATCCGTGCGATAATGCGTGCGTTCCCCGCAGAGCAGCGATCCGTGCGATAATGCGTGCGTTCCCCGCAGAGCAGCGATCCGTGCGATAATGCGTGCGTTCCCCGCAGAGCAGCGATCCGTGCGATAATGCGTGCGTTCCCCGCAGAGCAGCGATCCGTGCGATAATGCGTGCGTTCCCCGCAGAGCAGCGATCCGTGCGATAATGCGTGCGTTCCCCGCAGAGCAGCGATCCGTGCGATAATGCGTGCCCCCGCAGAGCAGCGATCCGTGCGGTAATGCGTGCGTTCCCCGCAGAGCAGCGATCCGTGCGGTAATGCGTGCGTTCCCCGCAGAGCAGCGATCCGTGCGTAATGCGTGCGTTCCCCGCAGAGCATCCGTGCGGTAATGCGTGCGTTCCCCGCAGAGCAGCGATCCGTGCGATAATGCGTGCGTTCCCCGCAGAGCAGCGATCCGTGCGATAATGCGTGCGTTCCCCGCAGAGCAGCGATCCGTGCGATAATGCGTGCGTTCCCCGCAGAGCAGCGATCCCGTGCGATAATGCGTGCGTTCCCCGCAGAGCAGCGATCCGTGCGATAATGCGTGCGTTCCCCGCAGCAGCCGATCCGTGCGATAATGCGTGCGTTCCCCGCAGCGATAATGCGTGCGTTCCCCGCAGAGCAGCGATCCGTGCGATAATGCGTGCGTGCGTCCCCGCAGAGCAGCGATCCGTGCGATAATGCGTGCGTTCCCCCGCAGAGCAGCGATCCGTGCGATACCAGCGATCCGTGCGATAATGCGTGCGTTCCCCGCAGAGCAGCGATCCGTGCGATAATGCGTGCGTTCCCCGCAGAGCAGCGATCCGTGCGAGTGCGTTCCCCGCAGAGCAGCGATCCGTGCGATAATGCGTGCGTTCCCCGCAGAGCAGCGATCCGTGCGATAATGCGTGCGTTCCCCCCAGAGCAGCGATCCGTGCGGTAATGCGTGCGTTCCCCGCAGAGCAGCGATCCGTGCGATAATGCGTGCGTTCCCCGCAGAGCAGCGATCCGTGCGTGCGTTCCCCGCATATCCGTGCGGTAATGCGTGCGTTCCCCGCAGAGCAGCGATCCGTGCGATTGCGATAATGCGTGCGTTCCCCGCAGAGCAGCGATCCGTCCGTGCGTTCCCCGCAGAGCAGCGATCCGTGCGATAATGCGTGCGTTCCCCGCAGAGCAGCGATCCGTGCGATAATGCGTGCGTTCCCCGCAGAGCAGCGATCCGTGCGATAATGCGTGCGTTCCCCGCAGAGCAGCGATCCGTGCGATAATGCGTGCGTTCCCCGCAGAGCGTTCCCCGCAGAGCAGCGATCCGTGCGATAATGCGTGCCCCCCGCGCAGAGCAGCGATCCGTGCGAAATGCGTGCGTTCCCCTCAGTGGAAAGGTAAGGGCGACTTGACATCTGTGGAGGGGTGTTGGGGTGCTCCCCTGCTAGGGCCCCCCAATACAGATCTCCACACCAACCAACCCCCCCCGATCCTCATGACACGCAATGTATGGACCCCGAGACGCATGCAAAGTGCAGCGGATATAGCCAGGTACCTGCAGACGCCTATTGGGGACCCCTTGGAGGCAGGTGGGAGGGTCCCCCAGAGGTGTGAATGGGCCCCAAACCCTCTTGAATGTATTGGGGGGGGGGGGGTCCACCTACCTCTCCATTCAGGAAGCAGTAGAGTACGGCCACCACGAAGCCCTGTGGAGGGAGACACATAACAGCCATTAGACCCCTCCTACTGCCCCTCCCCCATTTCTAGGTCCAAGTCACTGAACTACAGGATGGGAGCCAATAGATGGGAAGATTGCAGTCACATGGGTGGGAATGAGGATCCTCGCCGTGTGTTCCAGATTTGTGAATTCGGCTTATTTGGGCCAATCAGGAGACGGAAATGTAATCCAATCACATCAAATGTACCATTGATCTGTATGGAGGAGGATTAGTCACATGACATCCGCTCCCTGAGACTGCAACTGACTGCCGCTGACTGCAACTGACTGCCGCTGACTGCAACTGACTGCCGCTGACTGCAACTGACTGCCGCTGACTGCAACTGACTGCCGCTGACTGCCGCTGACTGCAACTGACTGCCGCTGACTGCAACTGACTGCCGCTGACTGCAACTGACTGCCGCTGACTGCAACTGACTGCCGCTGACTGCAACTGACTGCTGAGGTACAGGGTGTGTAGGTTGAACAGGGTGTATGGGTGTGTATAGGGTTTATATGAGTGTATAGGGTGTATTGGGGGTGTACAGGGTGTGGGGTGTACAGGGTGTGGGGTGTACAGGGTACATGGGGGTGTATAGGGGTGTGGGGGGTGTACAGGGTACATGGGGGAGTACAGGGTGTATGGGGGTGTGTAGGGTGTATGGGGGTGTCTGGGGTGCGTAGGGTGTATAGGGGTGTGTGTAGGGTGTATGGGGGTGTATAGGGTGTATGGGGGTGTGTAGGGTGTATGGGGCGTGTACGGTACTCAAGGTGTGCAGCAGTTGTACAACTCAGTTGAAGTTCCTCAATCTCACCACAGGAGGGAGGCAGAGTACCATTGTAGTGCAGCATTCAGCAGTGTGCAGTCTGGCGGTTGCTATGGGGTTACGGCACTCATCACCTTATAGCACAAGAATAAATATTGTATTCTCAGCCATGTGACTGCCATTTCCAAACCTTGGACAGAAAATAACTGCCATTTTCCTGGTCTGAGGTCTCCGTTCTCTCTGAGGTCTCTGCTCTCTCTGAGGTCTCTGCAGTCGCTGTTCTCTCTGCGGTCTCCGCTCTCTCTGCGGTCTCCGCTCCCTCTGCGGTCACTCTTGTCTCTGCGGCCTCTGTTCTCTCTGAGGTCTCCGCTCTCTCTGAGGTCTCCGCCCTCTCCGCTCCCTCTGCGTTCGCCGCTCCCTCCGCTCTCTCCGCTCCCTCCGCTCTCTCCGCTCCCTCCGCTCTCTCCGCTCCCTCCGCTCTCTCCGCTCCCTCCGCTCTCTCCGCTCCCTCTGCTCTCTCCACTCCCTCTGCTCTCTCCGCTCCCTCCGCTCCCTCCGCGGTCGCCGCTCCCTCTGCGGTCACCGCTCCCTCCGCGGTCTCCGCTCCCTCCGCTCCCTCCGCAGTCTCTGTGATTTCTGTGAATTGGGCCGGCACTGAGACAATGGACCCCCCGGGCGGCGGCGGAGTGAGTGACGTCACCTGGAAGGAGCCGAGGGCGAGCTCGAAGGACAGCCGGATCTCCACGGTGCCGCTGCTCACATCCTCCGGGAAGAAGGCGAAGATGATGTAATGAACGCCGAATAGCGGGATGAGGAGGAGCGTCGACCTGGCCAGACGCCTGCCGGGAAGAGGTATAAAGTGAGACACAGAGATTGCAGAGCTGGGGGGAGGGGGGGGTGACTACACGGGGATCCGCGACAACCAGCCAGGTGTCATCAGTGCCGGGCATGAGAAACTGACAGCTGATTGGCTGCTACGGGTAACAGCTGTTCCCAGAGATCCAGTCTGCGAATCAGAGGGAAGGGAACCCGCCGGGTGATCTCTCTGCTCTCCGGGATACAACTGGAAGGTGAAGGAAATCTCAAAAAGTGCGGGAAATCCCCCACAGCCGTGTCCCTATTGGATGATTTCACCTCTCTGAGGGGGGGGGGGGGGTTGTCTTCACTTTCAGTTCAAATAGATGAGAAATCCACCCAAAAGGGGCAACAAACACCCTCCAGAGGACGATTCCCCCCCCAACATGGACGAACCTTCGCTGAGAAATACACCCAAAAGAGGACCTGTCACCGGCCTGGGGTACAGCCGAGTACACCCCCCCCCCATATTATCAGTGGTCTCTCCCAGTACTGAGTGCCGAGAACACCCCCCCATATTATCAGTGGACTCTCCCAGTACTGAGTGCCGAGTACACCCCCCTCATATTATCAGTGGACTTTCCCAGTACTGAGTGCCGAGAACACCCCCCCCCCCCCCATACTATCAGTGGGCTCTCCCAGCACCGAGTGCCGAGTACACCCCCCCATATTATCAGTGGGCTCTCCCAGCACTGAGTGCCGAGTACATCCCCCCCCAAATTATCAGTGGGCTCTCCCAGCACTGAGTGCCGAGTACATCCCCCCCATATTATCAGTGGGCTCTCCCAGCACTGAGTGCCGAGTACATCCCCCCCATATTATCAGTGGGCTCTCCCAGCACTGAGTGCCGAGTACATCCCCCCATTATTATCAGTGGGCTCTCCCAGCACTGAGTGCCGAGGAGATCCCCCCCCATATTATCAGTGGGCTCTCCCAGCACTGAGTGCCGAGTACATCCCCCCCCATATTATCAGTGGGCTCTCCCAGCACTGAGTGTCGAGTACATCCCCCCCATATTATCAGTGGGCTCTCCCAGTACTGCCGAGTACACCCCCCATATTATCAGTGGGCTCTCCCAGCACTGAGTGCCGAGTACATCCCCCCCATAGTATCAGTGGGGCTCTCCCAGCACTGAGTGCCGAGTACATCCCCCCCCCCCCATATTATCAGTGGGCTCTCCCAGCACTGAGTGCCGAGTACATCCCCCCCATATTATCAGTGGGCTCTCCCAGTACTGCCGAGTACACCCCCCCATATTATCAGTGGGCTCTCCCAGCACTGAGTGCCGAGTACATCCCCCCCCCATAGTATCAGTGGGCTCTCCCAGCACTGAGTGCCGAGTACATCCCCCCCCATATTATCAGTGGGCTCTCCCAGCACTGAGGGCCGAGTACACCCCCCCATATTATCAGTGGGCTCTTCTCCCAGCACTGAGGGCCGAGTACACCCCCCCCCATATTATCAGTGGGCTCTCCCAGCACTGAGGGCCAAGTACACCCCCCCATATCAGTCGGCTCTCCCAGCACTGAGGGCCGAGTACACCCCCCCATATTATCAGTGGACTCTCCCAGTACTAAGTGCCGAGTACATCCCCCCCCCCCATATTATCAGTGGACTCTCCCAGTACAGAGTGCTGAGTACACCCCCCCCCATATTATCAGTGGGCTCTCCCAGCACTGAGTGGCTCTCCCTTCAGTGCCGAGTACACCCCCCCCCCCACATATTATCAGTGGGCTCTCCCTCACTTGTATTGGTTGAAGTCGCCCCCCCCCATATTATCCCCCCCCTTGTATTGGTTGAAGTCGTTCCCCCCCCCCCATATTATCAGTGGGCTCTCCCTCACTTGTATTGGTTGAAGTCGTTCCCCCCCATATTATCAGTGGGCTCTCCCTCACTTGTATTGGTTGAAGTCGTTCCCCCCCCATATTATCAGTGGGCTCTCCCTCACTTGTATTGGTTGAAGTCGTTCCCCCCCCATATTATTATCAGTGGGCTCTCCCTCACTTGTATTGGTTGAAGTCGCTCCCCCCCCCCATATTATCAGTGGGCTCTCCCTCACTTGTATTGGTTGAAGTCGTTCCCCCCCCATATTATCAGTGGGCTCTCCCTCACTTGTATTGGTTGAAGTCGCTCCCCCCCCATATTATCAGTGGGCTCTCCCTCACTTGTATTGGTTGAAGTCGCCCCCCCCCCCCCATATTATCAGTGGGCTCTCCCTCACTTGTATTGGTTGAAGTCGTTCCATTTTGATTTGTTGAAGTAGTTCCCCCATATTATCAGTGGGCTCTCTCCTCACTCTCCCTCACTTGTATTGGTTGAAGTCGCTCCCCCCCCCATATTATCAGTGGGCTCTCCCTCACTTGTATTGGTTGAAGTCGTTCCCCCCCCCCCCCCATATTATCAGTGGGCTCTCCCTCACTTGTATTGGTTGAAGTCGCTCCCCTCCCCCATATTATCAGTGGGCTCTCCCTCACTTGTATTGGTTGAAGTCGCTCCCCCCCCCCCATATTATCAGTGGGCTCTCCCTCACTTGTATTGGTTGAAGTAGTCTCCCTCACTTGTATTGGTTGAAGTCCCCCCCCCATATTATCAGTGGGCTCTCCCTCACTTGTATTGGTTGAAGTAGTTGAAGTCCCCCCCCCCATATTATCAGTGGGCTCTCCCTCACTTGTATTGGTTGAAGTCGTTCCCCCCCCCCCATATTATCAGTGGGCTCCTCCCTCACTCTCCCTCACTTGTATTGGTTGAAGTCGTTCCCCCCCCCATATTATCAGTGGGCTCTCCCTCACTTGTATTGGTTGAAGTCGCTCCCCCCCCCCCTCTCCCTCACTTGTATTGGTCAGTCGCCCCCCCCCCCATATATTATCAGTGGGCTCTCCCTCACTTGTATTGGTTGAAGTCGCCCCCCCCCCCCATATTATCAGTGGGCTCTCCCTCACTTGTATTGGTTGAAGTCGTTCCCCCCCCCCCCCCCATATTATCAGTGGGCTCTCCCTCACTTGTATTGGTTGAAGTCGCTCCCCCCCCCCCCATATTATCAGTGGGCTCTCCCTCACTTGTATTGGTTGAAGTCGCTCCCCCCCCCCATATTATCAGTGGGCTCTCCCTCACTTGTATTGGTTGAAGTCGCTCCCCCCCCCCATATTATCAGTGGCTCTCCCTCACTTGTATTGGTTGAAGTCGCTCCCCCCCCCCCCCCATATTATCAGTGGGCTCTCCCTCACTTGTATTGGTTGAAGTCGCTCCCCCCCCAGTGGGCTCCCCTCACTTGTATTGGTTGAAGTCGTTCCCCATATTTGTATCAGTGGGCTCTCCCTCACTTGTATTGGTTGAAGTCGCTCCCCCCCCCATATTATCAGTGGGCTCTCCCTCACTTGTATTGGTTGAAGTCGCTCCCCCCCCCATATTATCAGTGGGCTCTCCCTCACTTGTATTGGTTGAAGTCCCCCCCCCCCCCCCCATATTATCAGTGGGCTCTCCCTCACTTGTATTGGTTGAAGTCGCTCCCCCCCCCATATTATCAGTGGGCTCTCCCTCACTTGTATTGGTTGAAGTCGTTCCCCCCCCCCCCCATATTATCAGTGGGCTCTCCCTCACTTGTATTGGTTGAAGTCGCTCCCCCCCCATATTATCAGTGGGCTCTCCCTCACTTGTATTGGTTGAAGTCGTTCCCCCCCCCCCCTCACTTGTATTTATCAGTGGGCTCTCCCTCACTTGTATTTGTAAGTCGCTTGGTTGTATTGGTTGAAGTCGCTCCCCCCCCCCCCATATTATCAGTGGGCTCTCCCTCACTTGTATTGGTTGAAGTCGTTCCCCCCCATTATCAGTGGGCTCTCCCTCACTTGTATTGGTTGAAGTCGCTCCCCCCCATATTATCAGTGGGCTCTCCCTCACTTGTATTGGTTGAAGTCGTTCCCCCCCCCCATATTATCAGTGGGCTCTCCCTCACTTGTATTGGTTGAAGTCGCTCCCCCCCCCCCCCATATTATCATCTCCCTCACTTGTATTGGTTGAAGTCGTTCCCCCCCCCCCATATTATCAGTGGGCTCTCCCTCACTTGTATTGGTTGAAGTCGTTCCCCCCCCCATATTATCACTGGGCTCTCCCTCACTTGTATTGGTTGAAGTCGTCCCCCCCCCATATTATCAGTGGGCTCTCCCTCACTTGTATTGGTTGAAGTCGCTCCCCCCCCCCCATATTATCAGTGGGCTCTCCCTCACTTGTATTGGTTGAAGTCGCTCCCCCCCCCCCCAGTGGGCTATTATCAGTGGGCTCTCCCTCACTTGTATTGGTTGAAGTCGCTCCCCCCCCCCCCCCCCCCATATTTATCAGTGGGCTCTCCCTCACTTGTATTGGTTGAAGTCGCTCCCCCCCCCCATATTATCAGTGGGCTCTCCCTCACTTGTATTGGTGAAGTCGCTCCCCCCCCCCATATTATCGCTCCCCCCCGATCAGTGGGCTCTCCCTCACTTGTATTGGTTGAAGTCGCTCCCCCCCCCCCCCATATTATCAGTGGGCTCTCCCCTCACTTGTATTGGTTGAAGTCGTTCCCCCCCCCCCCCGTTCCCCCCATATTATCAGTGGGCTCTCCCTCACTTGTATTGGTTGAAGTCGCTCCCCCCCCATATTATCAGTGGGCTCTCCCTCACTTGTATTGGTTGAAGTCGCTCCCCCCCCCCCCCCCCCATATTATCAGTGGGCTCTCCCTCACTTGTATTGGTTGAAGTCGTTCCCCCCCCCCCATATTATCAGTGGGCTCTCCCTCACTTGTATTGGTTGAAGTCGCTCCCCCCCCCCCCCCCCCATATTATCAGTGGGCTCTCCCGCACTTGTATTGGTTGAAGTCGTTCCCCCCCCCCCCATATTATCAGTGGGCTCTCCCTCACTTGTATTGGTTGAAGTCGCTCCCCCCCCATATTATCAGTGGGCTCTCCCTCACTTGTATTGGTTGAAGTCGTTCCCCCCATATTATCAGTGGGCTCTCCTCTCACTTGTATTGGTTGAAGTCGCTCCCCCCCCCCCATATCAGTGGGCTCTCCCTCACTTGTATTGGTTGAAGTCGCTCCCCCCCCCCCATATTATCAGTGGGCTCTCCCTCACTTGTATTGGTTGAAGTCGTTCCCCCAGACGTCCGACGTTCTCAGCTTCTTCATCAGAATTCGGATGATTCTCACAAACAGGATGAAGTTTATCTGTAGAGCAGAGGGAGGGGCCAAATTACTCCTCAACCAATCATTGCTACAAATAATCGTGATGTCATTATAGAGTGATGTCATTGTGATGTCACTACTCAGAATTCCCAGCAGATGCGGTCTTCGGTGTTCTTTTGATCAATAGTAATGACCCGCAGCCAATCAGTGCAGCTTCCAGTCACATGATCACAGAGACAACCTTGTGTGCCTGCCAGGGGTTAACCATTTCCAGCACGCTGACAGAGGGGAGAGCAGAGATCCGCTCTCCCCGGACCCCGCATTCACCATATCCGCTCTCCCCGGACCCCGCGTTCACCATATCCGCTCTCCCCGGACCCCGCGTTCACCATATCCGCTCTCCCCCGGACCCCGCGTTCACCATATCCGCTCTCCCCGGACCCCGCGTTCACCATATCCGCTCTCCCCGGACCCCGCGTTCACCATATCCGCTCTCCCCGGACCCCGCGTTCACCATATCCGCTCTCCCCGGACCCCGCGTTCACCATATCCGCTCCGCTCTCCCCGACCCCGCGTTCACCATATCCGCTCTCCCCCGGACCCCGCATTCACTATATCCGCTCTCCCCCGGACCCCGCATTCACTATATCCGCTCTCCCAGGACCCCGCATTCCCTATATCCGCTCTCCCCGGACCCCGCATTCACTATATCCGCTCTCCCCGGACCCCGCATTCACTATATCCGCTCTCCCCCGGACCCCGCATTCACTATATCCGCTCTCCCCGGACCCCGCATTCACTATATCCGCTCTCCCCCGGACCCCGCATTCACTATATCCGCTCTCCCCCGGACCCCGCATTCACTGTATCTGCTCTCCCCGGACCCCGCATTCACTATATCCGCTCTCCCCGGACCCCGCATTCCCTATATCCGCTCTCCCCGGACCTCGCATTCACTATATCCGCTCTCCCCGGACCCTGCGTTCACTATATCCTCTCTCCCCGGACCCCGCATTCACTATATCCGCTCTCCCCGGACCCCGCATTCACTATATCCGCTCTCCCCGGACCCCGCATTCACTATATCCGCTCTCCCCGGACCCCGCATTCACTATATCCCCTCTCCCCGGACCCCGCATTCACTATATCCGCTCTCCCCGGACCTCGCATTCATTATATCCGCTCTCCCCGGACCCCGCATTCCCTATATCCGCTCTCCCCGGACCCCTCATTCACTGTATCCGCTCTCCCCGGACCCCGCATTCACTATATCCGCTCTCCCCGGACCCCGCATTCACTATATCCGCTCTCCCCGGACCCCGCATTCACTATATCTGCTCTCCCTGGACCCCGCATTCACTATATCCGCTCTCCCCGGACCCCGCATTCACTATATCCGCTCTCCCCGGACCCCGCATTCACTATATCCGCTCTCCCTGGACCCCGCATTCACTATATCCGCTCTCCCCGGACCCTGCATTCACTATATCCGCTCTCCCCGGACCCCGCATTCACTATATCCGCTCTCCCCGGACCCCGCATTCACTATATCTGCTCTCCCCGGACCCCGCATTCACTATATCCGCTCTCCCCGGACCCTGCATTCACTATATCCGCTCTCCCCGGACCCCGCATTCACTATATCGGCTCTCCCCGGACCCCGCATTCACTATATCCGCTCTCCCCGGACCCCGCATTCACTGTATCCGCTCTCCCCGGACCCCGCATTCACCATATCCCCTCTCCCCGGACCCCGCATTCACTATATCCGCTCTCCCCGGACCCCGCATTCACTATATCCGCTCTCCCCGGGGGCTCCGCCCTGTGTTGGAGGAACTCCGGACCAGAGCTGGAAATGGGTGTCAATGCAGTAGACTGACCTATAAATGGCGGATTCTCTGGTAATGATGGGCCGTGAACTTAAAGAAGAGGACCTGTCATGTATGTGTGACACGGGAGGGGATTGGTGGAAGTTCTCCTTTTTGGGGACGTCATCATGTCCGCAGAACATACAACAGATATAGTACCAGACTCCGCCCCCCCACTCACAAAGATGGCGAGGATGACCGGCCCGCGGATGATCCACCAGATACTGGCGTCAGAATTGATGTTCCAGCACCTGCAGGAGAAGCAGAAATCGCTGTCACAGCCGCCGTCGCTCCTCGCGGGATACAAGCGCTGCGTCACGCGCCATTTACAAACATTCACACAAACTTCCAGAATCTTCCTAGAAAAATCGATCTAAACCCAAAATGTCAGATATTGCCGATCCTCAGCTATGGCGGCTGCTTTCCTTTTCCTCTGACAGGTTAAGAACATTTTCAGTAAGTACAGAAGTTTCCTGTTGATCCTGCCAGAAATCCAGGACCCCGAGTCTCAGACAAGGTTCTCAGTTCCCCAGCATCCCTGTGCTATGGAGAGAAGAAGAGGGGGAGGTGTTCTGTAGTCCTCTCCCAGGGTGACAACGCTGCTCCTCCAGTGATACAGTACAGTGAGCGTTGTCACCCTGGGACAGGAAGTGTGTTACTGGCAGGATCACCGCGGGAAATCCTGAACACAATACTCTGTAGAGGAGATCCCCCCGATTCTCACACTTCCTGTTGGGTCTTCAGGACAGGAAATGAAGGGAAATCTCCCCAAAAGGACGCCAATGACAACGAGAACCAAAAGGGGTAATAATATCAGTATATCCATGGGGCCCCACCTATGACTCGGGTCACATGCATCTCTTCCTAAGGGGCCCCGGGGCCCCTGAAGACAGTCTGGAGTTAGGGAAGAATATTTTGGTTTTCTGATTATTGAACAATTTGGGGAGAGATTTGGGGTGACCACCAGAGACGTCATCCAGTATCTGATCTGTGTGACTCAGGATGGCTGTATGTTGGGGAACACCCCCTTCCCTCCCCTGTACCCCACCGTATCCCCCCTCCCCTGTACCCCCCTTCCCTCCCCTGTACCCCCCTTCCCTCCCCTGTATACCCCCCCCCCCGTATCCCCCCCTTTCCTCCCATGTACCCCACCCCTCCCCCGTATACCCCCCCCGTATACCCCTCCCCCACTGTATGAACTAACAGGCGCTCACCCGGTATTCTCGTACAGATGGCGGCACACAGACCAGGCGATGATGAAGACCAGAGGAGAGCCTGGAGGACGGAGAGACGAGCGATCAGAGGAGAGCCGGCAACCAGACCCCTACAGAGCTTCACCAAGATGTGTCTTCATACTAGCATGGCGGGACCAAGGGGCCGAGACCCCCAATACCCCACACCAGGACAGAGGTACCCAACCCCCAATACCCCACACCAGGGCAGAGGTACCGAGACCCCCAATACCCCACACCAGGACAGAGGTCCGAGACCCCCAATACCCCACACCAGGGCAGAGGTACCCAACCCCCAACACCCCACACCAGGACCAAGGTACTGAGACCCCCAATACCCCACACCAGGATCAAGGTACTGAGACCCCCAATACCCCACACCAGGACAGAGGTACCCAACCCCCAATACCCCACACCAGGGCAGAGGTACCGAGACCCCCAATACCCCACACCAGGACCAAGGTACTGAGACCCCCAATACCCCACACCAGGGCAGAGGTAGCCAACCCCCAATACCCCACACCAGGACAGAGGTACCCAACCCCCAATACCCCACACCAGGGCAGAGGTACCGAGACCCCCAATACCCCACACCAGGGCAGAGGTACCGAGACCCCCAATACCCCACACCAGGGCAGAGGTACCGAGACCCCCAATACCCCACACCAGGGCAGAGGTACCCAACCCCCAATACTCCACACCAGGGCAGAGGTACAGAGACCCCCAATACCCCACACCAGGACAGAGGCACCGAGACCCCCAATACCCTACACCAGGGCAGAGGTACCGAGACCCCCAATACCCCACACCAGGGCAGAGGTACCCAACCCCCAATACCCCACACCAGGGCAGAGGTACCGAGACCCCCAATACCCCACACCAGGGCAGAGGTACCCAACCCCCAATACCCCACACCAGGGCAGAGGTACCGAGACCCCCAATACCCCACACCAGGACAGAGGTACCCAACCCCCAATACCCCACACCAGGGCAGAGGTACTGAGACCCCCAATACCCCACACCAGGGCAGAGGTACCGAGACCCCCAATACCCCACACCAGGGCAGAGGTACTGAGACCCCCAATACCCCACACCAGGACAGAGGTACCCAACCCCCAATACCCCACACCAGGGCAGAGGTACCGAGACCCCCAATACCCCACACCAGGGCAGAGGTACCGCGACCCCCAATACCCCACACCAGGGCAGAGGTACCCAACCCCCAACACCCCACACCAGGGCAGAGGTACAGACACCCCCAATACCCCACACCAGGGCAGAAGTACTGAGACCCCCAATACCCCACACCAGGGCAGAGGTACAGAGACCCCCAATACCCCACACCAGGGCAGAGGTACCCAACCCCCAACACCCCACACCAGGACCGAGGTACAGACACCCCCAATACCCCACACCAGGGCAGAAATACTGAGACCCCCAATACCCCACACCAGGGCAGAGGTAAAGAGACCCCCAATACCCCACACCAGGGCAGAGGTACAGAGACCCCCAATACCCCACACCAGGGCAGAGGTACAGAGACCCCCAATACCCCACACCAGGGCAGAGGTACAGAGACCCCCAATACCCCACACCAGGACAGAGGTACAGAGACCCCCAATACCCCACACCAGGACAGAGGTTCCCAACCCCCAATACCCCACACCAGGACCAAGGTACCGAGACCCCCAATACCCCACACCAGGACAGAGGTACCGAGACCCCCAATACCCCACACCAGGGCAGAGGTACCGAGACCCCCAATACCCCACACCAGGGCAGAGGTACAGAGACCCCCAATACCCCACACCAGGACCAAGGTACCGAGACCCCCAATACCCCACACCAGGACCAGGTACCGAGACCCCCAATACCCAACACCAGGACAGAGGTACCGAGACCCCCAATACCCCACACCAGGGCAGAGGTACCCAACCCCCAACACCCCCACACCAGGGCAGAGGTACAGACACCCCCAATACCCCACACCAGGGCAGAAGTACTGAGACCCCCAATACCCCACACCAGGGCAGAGGTACAGAGACCCCCAATACCCCACACCAGGACAGAGGTACTGAGACCCCCAATACCCCACACCAGGACAATTGAATTGCCTTCAATTCTCTGCCCCCCCCCACCAGCTTCTTACCCCAGCCGAGGGCAATATACCAGCAGAAGTACTTCCACTCGGAGAAGAAGGAGACCACCAGAAGTGTGTGCAGGTAGAGCCCCTCCACAAGCAGCCAGCTGTAATTGGCCATAATGCAATACTGGAAGAAGACCATGACGTACTTACAGTCCTTCTGCAGACAGGAGAGAGCAGGAGAGGTATATATTATATATACAGCAATGGCCACCCAGAGATACACATTATATACAGAGGTACCCACCCCCTAATACCCCACATCACTGCAGGACAGGGGTATCCATCCCCTAATACCCCACATCACTGCAAAACAGGGGTACCCACCCCCTAATACCCCACATCACTGCAGGACAGGGGTACCCATCCCCTAATACCCCACATCACTGCAGGACAGGGGTACCCACCCCCTAATACCCCACATCACTGCAGGACAGGGGTACCCACCCCCTAATACCCCACATCACTGCAGGACAGGGGTACCCACCCCCTAATACCCCACATCACTGCAGGACAGGGGTACCCATCCCCTAATACCCCACATCACTGCAGGACAGGGGTACCCATCCCCTAATACCCCACATCACTGCAGGACAGGGGTACCCCCCCTCCTAATACCCCACATCACTGCAGGACAGGGGTACCCATCCCCTAATACCCCACATCACTGCAGGACAGAGGTACCCACCCCCTAATACCCCACATCACTGCAGGACAGGGGTACCCACCCCCTAATACCACACATCACTGCAGGACAGAGGTACCCACCCCCTAATACCCCACATCACTGCAGGACAGGGGTACCCACCCCCTAATACCCCACATCACTGCAGGACAGGGTACCCACCCCCTAATACCCCACATCACTGCAAAAAAACAGGGGTACCCACCCCCTAATACCCCACATCACTGCAGGACAGGGGTACCCACCCCCTAATACCCCACATCACTGGAGGACAGAGGTACCCATCCCCTAATACCCCACATCACTGGAGGACAGAGGTACCCATCCCCTAATACCCCACATCACTGCAGGACAGAAGTACCCACCCCCTAATACCCCACATCACTGCAGGACAGGGGTACCCATCCCCTAATACCCCACATCACTGCAAAACAGGGGTACCCACCCCCTAATACCCCACATCACTGCAGGACAGGGGTACCCACCCCCTAATACCCCACATCACTGGAGGACAGAGGTACCCATCCCCTAATACCCCACATCACTGGAGGACAGAGGTACCCACCCCCTAATACCCCACATCACTGGAGGACAGAGGTACCCACCCCCTAATACCCCACATCACTGCAGGACAGAGGTACCCACCCCCTAATACCCCACATCACTGCAGGACAGGGGTACCCCCCCCACCCTCTAATACCCCACATCACTGCAGGACAGGGGTACCCATCCCCTAATACCCCACATCACTGCAGGACAGGGGTACCCCCCCTCTAATACCCCACATCACTGCAGGACAGGGGTACCCATCCCCTAATACCCCACATCACTGCAGGACAGAGGTACCCCACACCCCCTAATACCCCACATCACTGCAGGACAGGGGTACCCATCCCCTAATACCCCAAATCACTGCAGGACAGGGGTACCCACACCCCCTAATACCCCACATCACTGGAGGACAGAGGTACCCACCCCCTAATACCCCACATCACATCACTGGATCACTGGAGGGACAGAGGTACCCACCCCCTAATACCCCACATCACACATCACTGAGGACAGAGGACAGAGGTACCCACCCCCTAATACCCCACATCACTGCAGGACAGAGGTACCCACCCACACCCCTAATACCCCACATCACTGGAGGACAGAATACCCACACCCCTAATACCCCAAGGGACAGAGGTACCCACCCCCTAATACCCCACATCACTGCAGGACAGGGGTACCCACCCCCTAATACCCCACATCACTGGAGGACAGAGGGTACCCATCCCCTAATACCCCACATCACTGCAGGACAGAGGTACCCACCCCCTAATACCCCACATCACTGCAGGACAGGGGTACCCATCCCCTAATACCCCACATCACTGCAGGACAGAGATACCCATCCCCTAATACCCCACATCACTGCAGGACAGAAGGTACCCATCCCCTAATACCCCACATCACTGCAGGACAGAAGTACCCACCCCCTAATACCCCACATCACTGCAGGACAGAGGTACCCATCCCCTAATACCCCACATCACTGCAGGACAGAAGTACCCATCCCCTAATACCCCACATCACTGCAGGACAGAAGTACCCACCCCCTAATACCCCACATCACTGCAGGACAGAGATACAATACCCCACATACCCATCCCCCCTAATACCCCACATCACTGCAGGACAGAAGTACCCCCCCTAATACCCCACATCCCCCAAATACCCCACATCACTGCAGGACAGAAGTACCCACCCCCTAATACCCCACATCACTGGGACAGAGGTACCCATCCCCTAATACCCCACATCACTGCAGGACAGGGGTACCCACCCCCTAATACCCCACATCACTGCAGGACAGGGGTACCCATCCCCTAATACCCCACATCACTGCAGGACAGAGGTACCCATCCCCTAATACCCCACATCACTGCAGGACAGAGGTACCCATCCCCTAATACCCCACATCACTGCAGGACAGGGGTACCCCCCTAATACCCCTAATACCCCCCTAATCCCCACTGCAGGACAGGGGTACCCATCCCCTAATACCCCACATCACTGCAGGACAGGGGTACCCACCCCCTACCCCCATCCCCTAATACCCCACATCACTGCACAGGGGTACCCAAAATACCCCACATCACTGCAAAACAGGGGTACCCACCCCCTAATACCCCACATCACTGCAGGACAGGGGTACCCACCCCCTAATACCCCACATCACTGCAGGACAGGGGTACCCACCCCCTAATACCCCACATCACTGCAAAACAGGGGTACCCATCCCCTAATACCCCACATCACTGCAAAACAGGGGTACCCACCCCCTAATACCCCACATCACTGCAAAACAGGGGTACCCACCCCCTAATACCCCACATCACTGCAGGACAGGGGTACCCATCCCCTAATACCCCACATCACTGCAGGACAGGGGTACCCATCCCCTAATACCCCACATCACTGCAGGACAGGGGTACCCACCCCCTAATACCCCACATCACTGCAGGACAGAGGTACCCACCCCCTAATACCCCACATCACTGCAGGACAGAAGTACCCATCCCCTAATACCCCACATCACTGCAGGACAGAAGTAACCATCCCCTAATACCCCACATCACTGGAGGACAGAGGTACCCATCCCCCAATACCCCACATCACTGGAGGACAGAGGTACCCATCCCCTAATACCCCACATCACTGCAGGACAGGGGTACCCATCCCCTAATACCCCACATCACTGCAGGACAGAGGTACCCATCCCCTAATACCCCACATCACTGCAGGACAGAGGTACCCATCCCCTAATACCCCACATCACTGCAGGACAGAGGTACCCATCCCCTAATACCCCACATCACTGCAGGACAGAGGTACCAATCCTCTATGCAAAGGTTCACAATCTGAAACTAGAAAATGATGCACATTGATGTAGGTTGCTTGTGACCACAGACATTGATGTAGGTTGCTTGTGACCACAGACACTGATGTAGGTTGCTTGTGACCACAGACACTGATGTAGGTTGCTTGTGACCACAGACACTGATGTAGGTTGCTTGTGACCACAGACATTGATGTAGGTTGCTTGTGACCACAGACATTGATGTAGGTTGCTTGTGACCACAGACATTGATGTAGGTTGCTTGTGACCACAGACATTGATGTAGGTTGCTTGTGACCACAGACATTGATTTGGGTTGTTTATGGTCACAGAATGCAATCTAAGTGGCTTGTTGCTACACACATTAGGATGGATTTTGGATCTGGGTCTCTGTGATTAGATTGCTTGTACCTCCAGGAACTGGTCTCGCTAGACATCATTCTCGGTTGCTGTTGACTGCAAAACATTAATCAGGGTTGTGCAAGGCCCTAGGCATTAGTCTAGGTTGCTTGTGGCCATAGATATCAATCCAGGTCACCTGTGAGCATAGGCCCTGGTCTAGATTGCTCGTGACTCTCAGGATAGGTCTTGCTTCGCATTGATCTATGTTGCTTGTGGCCATAGACATTCATCTAATTCATCTGTGACTATAGGCCTTGGTCTTGGTTGCTCGTGACTCAAGATAAGTCTAGCTAGACCTTGATCTAGGTTGACTGTTGCCATAGACATTGATCTAGGTCATCTGTCACTATAGGCCTTGGTCTAGGTCACTCATGACTCTTGGGATAGGTCTCCGTAGACCTTGATCTGGGTTGATTGTGGATGGATGGGTTGTGTTGGGGGGTGTTTGTAGTTGGTGGTGTGGGGTGTGTGTTGGGTGGTGTTGGGGTTGGTGGTGTGTGGGGGGGGTTGTGGGTGGGTTGGGTGGTGGGGGGGGGGTTGTGTTGGGGGGAGTGTTTGTTTGGGTGTGGTGGGGTTGTGTTGGGTGGTGGGTGTAGTTGGTGTGTGGGGGGTGGGGTTTGGGGGGTGTGGGGGTTGGGGGGTGTGGGGTGTGGGGGTGTGGGTGGGTGGTGGGTGGTGGGGGGGGTTGGGGGGGTGTTGGGGGGGGGGGGGGGGTTGTGGGTTGGTGGTTTTTTTTTGGTTTTTGGGGGGGTGTGTTGGGTTGGGGGTTGGGGGGTGTGTTGGGGGGTGTGGGGGGGGGTGTGTGGGGGGGGGGTTTGGGGTGGTGTTGTGGGTTGGGTTGTTGTGGGGGGGTGGTTGGGTTGGGGGGGTTGTGTTGGGGGGGGTGGGGGTGGGTTTTGGGGGTTGTGGGGGGGGTTGTTGGGTTGTGTTTTGTTTGGGGTTGTGTTGTGTTTTTTGTTTGGGTTGGGGGGTGGGGTGGTGGGTTGTTGTGTGGGGGGGGGTTGGGTGGTTGTGTTTGGGGTTGGGGGTGGGGGGGTGTGGGGGGGTTGGGGGGTTGGGGGGGGGTGGGTTGGGGGTTGGGGTTGTGTTTTGTGTTTTGGTTTTTGTTGGGGGGGGGTGTGGGGGGGGGGGGTTGTTTGTTGGGGGGGGTGTTTTTGTGGGTGTGGGGTTTGGGTTTGGTGGTGTGGGGTTTTGGTTGGGTTTGGGGGGTTTTTGGGGGGGGTGGGGGGTTTTGGGGGTTTGGTGGGGGGGGGGTGGGGGGGGTTGGTGTGGGGGGGGGTTTGGTGGTTTGGGGGGGGGTTGTGGGGTGTGGGGGGTTGGTTGGTGTGGGTTTGTTGGGGTGTGGTTTTTGTTTGTGGGTGGGGGGGGGTTTTGGTTTTTGGGGGTGGTTTTTTGGTTGTTGGGGGTGGGTTTGGTGGGGGGGGGGGGGGGGGGGGGTTGGGGTTTGGGGGGGGTTTGGGGGGGTGGTTTTGTTTGGGGGTTTCCATTGGTTTGGGGTTGGGGGTGGGGTTTTGGGGTTTTTGTTGGGGGGGGGGGGGGGGAGGTGGTGGGGGTTTTTGGGGGGGTGGGGGGGGGTGGTTTGGGGGTTGGGTTTTTTGGGGGGGGGGGGGGGGTTTTGGGTTAACTGTTTTTTTGGGGGGGGGGTTGTTTGGTTTGTTTTTTGTTGTGGGGGGTTTTTTGTTTGGGGGGGGGTTTTTGGGGGGGGGGGGGGTTGGTTTTGGGGTGTGGGGGTTTTGGGTGGGGGTTGGGGGGGGGGTGTGTGGTTGGGTGGTGTGGGTTTGGTTGGATTGGGGGTTGGGGGGTGTTGGGGGGGGGGGGGGGTTGGGGGGGGGGGGTTGGGGGTTTTTTGGTTTTGGGGGGTTGTTGGGGTGTTTTTGAGGGTGTGTTGGGGTTTTTTGTTTGGGGGGGGGGGGTGGTGGGGGGGGTGGGGTGTTTTGGGGGGGTTTGGGGGGGCATTGTTTGTGGGGGGGGGTGGGTGGGGGGGGGGGGTTTTTTGGGGGGGGGGGGTTGGGGTGGGGATTGGGGGGGTGTGTGGGGTTTGGTTTTGGGGTTGGGGTGTTTTGGGGTTGTTTTGGTGGGTGGTGGGGTTGGGGGGGGGGGGGGGGGGTTTTTTTTTTGGGGGGGGGGGGGGTTGGTTTTTGTTTGGTTTGTTTGGGGGTGGTTTGGGGGGGGGGGTTGTGGGTTGTGTGGGGGTTGGGGGTGGGTGGGTGGGGGGGGGGGGGGGGGGGGGGTTTGTGTGGGGGTGTTTGTTTGTGTTTGTGGGTGGTTTGTGTTGGGGGGGTTGGTGTGTTTGTGTGTTTGGTTGTGTGGGTTGTGTTGGGTGGGTTTTTTGTGTTGGTTTGTTTGGGGGGTGTGGGGGGGGGTGTATGTTGTGGGGGGTGGTGGTGTTTGTGGGGGGGGGGGGGTTTGGTTGGGGTGTTTTGTTGGGGGGTGGTGGTTGGGTGTTGGTGTGGGTGGGGTGGGGGGTTGGGGGGGTGTGGTTGGTGGGTGGGGGTGGGTGGGTGTGGGGTGGGGTGGGGGGGTTGGTGGGGTTGGGGTGTTGGTTGTGTTTGGGGGTGGGGGTGGTGTGGTTTTGTGTTGTTTTGGGTGGGTGTTGTTTGTGTGTTGGTGGGGTTGGGGGGGTTTTTGGGTGGGGTTTGGGGGGTTGGTGTGGGGGGGGGTGGTTGTTGGTTTGTGTGTGGGTGTTGGGGGTGTTGGTTTGTGTGGGGGGGGTGTTTGGGGGGGGTTTGTTTTTGGTGGTGGGGGTTTGGGGTGGGGTGTGGGGGGTGGGGGGTTTTTGGTTGGGGGGTTGGGGGGGGTGGGTTGTGGTTGTGTTGTTTGTGGGTGGGTGTGTGTTGGGGGTGGTTTTTGGGGGGGTTGGGTTTTTTTGGGGGGGGTTTGGTGGGTTTTTGTGTGGGTTTTGTGGTGTTGGGGTGTGGGGGTGTGTTTGGGTGTGTGTTGTGGTTGGTGTGGTGGGTGGTGTGTTGGGGGTGTTGTGGTTGGTGTGGGGGTTGTGTTGGGGGTTTTTTTTTTTTTTGGGGTGTTGGGTTGGGTTGGGGTGTGGGTGGTGGGGTTGGGTGGTGTGGTTTTGGTTTGGGTGTTGGGTTGGGTGGTGTTGGGGGGTGGTTGGTGTGGGGGGGTGGTGTGGTTGGTGTGGGGGTTTGGGGGTGGGTGGTTTTTTTTTGGGGGTGTGTGTTTTGTGGGTTGTGGGTTTTTTGGTGTGGTTGGTTGTGTGGGGTTTGTTGGGTGGTGTGTAGTGGGGGGGGTTGGGTTTTTTTGTTTGGTTGTTGGGGGGGGGGTTGGTTGGTGTGGGTGGGTTTGTGTTTGATGGGGGGGTGGTGTTTGGTTGGTGTGTGGGTGTTTTTTGTTGGGGGGGGTGTTGGTTGGTGTGATGAGGTGGGGGGGGGGGGGGTTGGTGTGATGAGGTGGGTGGTGTGTGGGGTTGGTGTTTGGATTGTGTTGGGGTGGGTTTGTGGTTGGGGGGGGGGTTTGGTGTGATGGGTTTGTGTTGGGTGGTGTCAGTGGTTGGTGTGATGGGTTGTGTTGGATTGAGTGGTGTTGTGTCAATGGTTGGGTTGATGGATTGTGTTTTTTGAGTTCGGTGGTGTCATCCAATCTCATTCTCTGTTGTGTGATGTTGAATGTATAATCTTGTGTCAGAGGTCTCTCCACTCACCGAAATGATAGCAGAATGATCAGAGCCATCACCAGTGAAGCCAGAGACATGCCGTATCCCACCGTGTACAGGGTCTTCAGGTGCATATAATACTCCTGCTATAAAACACAGGCCAAGGTCAGAGGTCACCTTCTCACAGTCCCTTCTGTACATATAATCAGGATAGGTCTTACCACGTCCTCGGACTCCGTGTCATTGACGTTGTACTCGCAGGCCACGTCCATCGGTGGAAAAGTCAGTGACCACCCTTTCTCCGTACAGTTTCGGTTCACAGATCCTACAGGAATAGACAAGTCACGTGTGAGGTGTCTACAGAACCAATGAGACACTGAACTCTGGAACCATCCTAAGGGGTGACGTCTATACGGGATCTTCTGTCCTTCACCATATACTGAAGACAATTTCAGCAGATGGACCCATGTCTCTAGACTCTACGGTGGAAAATTCCAAGTGGTGGCCAACTGACCCCTCCTATTACTTTACCACTTCTCTCAGCTGGCAAGCATAAAACACTCCTGGCTGTAGGCAAGTATGTGTCCTCTGCAGAGCTACATCCACCACCACTGCTGGGACCAGCTTGATGGCTTCTGTCCATGAGAGACTGAGCGATAAGTCTGAGCTGAGAATTCCATCTTATGGTGGGTCATGTTGGAGGTGTGATGTCCTGGGGAGAGTGTGTAAAGAAAAAGCTGAGGAGGCCAGGAGCAGAGCATGTTCTACCTTATGGAAGGTCATGTTGGAGGTGGGATGTCCCGGTGGTGGGTATACAGTATATGGTCAGAGAGGAGGCCAGGAGCAGAGCATGTTCTACCTTATGGAGGGTCATGTTGGAGGTGTGATATCCCGGTGGTGGGTATACAGTATATGGTCAGAGAGGAGGCCAGGAGCAGAGCATGTTCTACCTTATGGAGGGTCATGTTGGAGGTGTGATGTCCCGGTGGTGGGTATACAGTATATGGTCAGAGAGGAGGCCAGGAGCAGAGCATGTTCTACCTTATGGAGGGTCATGTTGGAGGTGTGATATCCCGGTGGTGGGTATACAGTATATGGTCAGAGAGGAGGCCAGGAGCAGAGCATGTTCTACCTTATGGAGGGTCATGTTGGAGGTGTGATGTCCCGGTGGTGGGTATACAGTATATGGTCAGAGAGGAGGCCAGGAGCGGAGTATGTTCTACCTTATGTTGGGTCATGTTGGAGGTGTGATATCCCGGTGGTGGTTATACAGTATATGGTCAGAGAGGAGGCCAGGAGCAGAGTATGTTCTACCTTATGGAGGGTCATGTTGGAGGTGTGATGTCCCGGTGGTGGGTATACACTATATGGTCAGAGAGGAGGCCAGGAGCAGAGCATGTTCTACCTTATGGAGGGTCATGTTGGAGGTGTAATGTCCCGGTGGTGGGTATACAGTATATGGTCAGAGAGGAGGCCAGGAGCTGAGTATGTTCTACCTTATGTTGGGTCATGTTGGAGGTGTGATATCCCGGTGGTGGGTATACACTATATGGTCAGAGAGGAGGCCAGGAGCAGAGCATGTTCTACCTTATGGAGGGTCATGTTGGAGGTGTGATGTCCCGGTGGTGGGTATACAGTATATGGTCAGAGAGGAGGCCAGGAGCTGAGTATGTTCTACCTTATGGAGGGTCATGTTGGAGGTGTGATGTCCCGGTGGTGGGTATACAGTATATGGTCAGAGAGGAGGCCAGGAGCTGAGTATGTTCTACCTTATGTTGGGTCATGTTGGAGGTGTGATATCCCGGTGGTGGGTATACACTATATGGTCAGAGAGGAGGCCAGGAGCAGAGCATGTTCTACCTTATGGAGGGTCATGTTGGAGGTGTGATATCCCGGAGGTGGGTATACAGTATATGGTCAGAGAGGAGGCCAGGAGCAGAGCATCTTCCACCTCCCGGAGGATATGATATGTGGTCTCACCTTGGACGCCGGTTATGATCTGTAGGATCTCTGGGCAGGGGATGGTGGCAGTTTGTCCGTGGGGGGTCGGTGGCCAGCAGCTGATATTGTCCCACATTCCAGCACATCCTGAAACACAATGACAAGCCGTATGGATCAATCCCCTCCGATCCTTCCTACGTCATGGCCTCTGCCTCGACACGCTCACAGTGGGTATTGATCATCGATTTCACATTGTTCTGATGGAACTTTGTAACAGAGACTGCGTATGAATAACCAGACTGACCCCCCCGGACTCTGACCCCACCCTCCCCCATCACCGGCATGAATTGTACAGCCCAGCCGCTGTAGCACCACTGTATGGACTGCAGGCTGAGCGCTCCGCGTACCTGCCCTCCGCGTACCTGCCCCCCCCCGCGTACCTGCCCTCCGCGTACCTGCCCTCCGCGTACCTGCCCCCCGCGTATCTTCGCTCCGCGTACCCGCCCTCCGCGTACCCGCCCTCCGCAAACCCGCCCCCCGCGTACCCGCCCTCCCCGTACCCGCCCTCCGCGTACCCGCGCTCCGCGTACCCGCCCTCCCTGTACCCGCCCTCCCTGTACCCGCCCTCCCTGTACCCGCCCTCCCTGTACCTGCCCTCCGTGTACCTGCCCTCCGTGTACCTGCCCTCCCCGTACCTGCCCTCCCCGTACCTGCCCTCCCCGTACCTGCCCTCCCCGTACCTGCCCTCCCTGTACCTGCCCTCCGTGTACCTGCCCTCCGTGTATCCGGAACAAGCTGAGATGATGACGTCACTCACCCTCCTCCGGCCGCCAGCCCCCCGCAGACAGGCTGTGGTTTGCCAGGGACTCCTCACACGTCTCCTGAGCTCTCCGCATCACCCCCAGCAGGTCACAGAGCAGGTGAGCGCCCCCTACCTGCAGGGAGAAGACACAAATCCACTCAGATCACTATATATACACATGAAGGTGTGGGGGGGACAACCCTAAAGAGGCGGAGATCTAGCTGAACAACATGGGCGGAGTCAGGGATCAACGGGCGCAGTGTCGCCTCCTCTCATTTGATTTGAACCTCTAATGGCCGCACTATCGTGTCGCAGTCGTGAGCATCGCACCGCAATCAGGGGATTAAATCAGGTGATGAGAAGGCAACATATCGCCCCTCACCACCTGTTACACTCGGATCGCTTTTCAGAGGAGCAGCACTGGTGAATGAGGCCTTAGTTGCATTCGGCAGCAGCACCCTTAAAGTTTTCTCACAGGTAAAGTTAGGGGGTGGTAAAACCCTGTGGTTGAGTTGCGTTTTTACCACCCCCAACACCCTTAAGCTGCTGAGGCAGCTGCCAAAGGTGTACACGTGCTGCAGCAATTAAACCCCCCTGCTGCTTTTGGTGGGGGCTACTGCCTGCTAATCCCAACCCATTCAAGTAAACGGGGGTCAGTCTGCACCCACCGACCATGACGGGGCGTACAACCCACCCACCGACCATGACGGGGCGTACAACCCACCCACCCACCATGACGGGGCGTACAAACCCACCCACCCACCATGACGGGGCGTACAACCCACCCACCCACCATGACGGGGCGTACAACCCACCCACCCACCATGACGGGGCGTACAAACCCACCCACCCACCATGACGGGGCGTACAACCCACCCACCCACCATGACGGGGCGTACAACCCACCCACCATGACGGGGCGTACAACCCACCCACCGACCATGACGGGGCGTACAACCCACCCACCGACCATGACGGGGCGTACAACCCACCCACCGACCATGACGGGGAGTACAACCCACCCACCGACCATGACGGGGCGTACAACCCACCCACCGACCATGACGGGGCGTACAACCCACCCACCCCATGACGGGGCGTACAACCCACCCACCCACCATGACGGGGCGTACAACCCACCCACCCCACCATGACGGGGCGTACAACCCACCCACCCACCATGACGGGGCGTACAACCCACCCACCCACCATGACGGGGCGTACAACCCACCCACCCACCATGACGGGGCGTACAACCCACCCACCGACCATGACGGGGCGTACAACCCACCCACCGACCATGACGGGGCGTACAACCCACCCACCGACCATGACGGGGCGTACAACCCACCCACCGACCATGACGGGGCGTACAACCCACCCACCGACCATGACGGGGCGTACAACCCACCCACCGACCATGACGGGGCGTACAACCCACCCACCGACCATGACGGGGCGTACAACCCACCCACCGACCATGACGGGGCGTACAACCCACCCACCGACCATGCCGGGGCGTGCAACCCACCCACCGACCATGACGGGGCGTGCAACCCACCCACCGACCATGACGGGGCGTACAATCCACCCACCGACCATGACGGGGCGTGCAACCCACCCACCGACCATGACGGGGCGCTGACCCCCGCACTAATGGCCTACATACACTTTTAGAATATCAGACAAATGATCGTTCGTTTTTTCTGTCAAAAATTAAGAGATTACTAAAGTTACGGAAATTCTTTAATAACGGAATACAAACTTCAGGGGGCAGGGGGTGGGGCTTTGGGGGCGGAGTCGGGGCTTCGGGGGCGGAGTTGGGGCTTCGGAGGGCGGAGTCGGGGCTTCGGAGGGCGGAGTCGGAGCTTCGGGGGGCGGAGTCGGAGCTTTGGGGGGCGGAGTCGGGTCACTGAGGGAAGGCGGTAGAAGAAGGTGAAGTTGCGTTCACTTTATATACCCAATGGAGTGGGAGGGAAATTTTGAACAGAACTCATGACTGGAACACGGCACAACGACACAGACTATACACTCCTTCCATCCTGGACCCGGAGAGGGCCCGTCACACTCGGGGCCACAGAATAATCACCCAGAAATGTTACATTGTATCACCCTATCGGACCCTGAGTCAGAACACTTGCAGTGAATCATTGATGGGACTCTTCCCATTGAACCCGACTAATAAACTGACTCCGGGGTCACTTAGCAACACAAATCGTATAAAGAGAACCTGTCAGAGGAATAAAAGGTCAACCATTGCTACATTCTCCTGAAAATACTATTTGTCATTCTGATCCAAAAGATGGAGACGCGGGGGCAGGGCAGATACACTACATTGCCAGAAGTATTGGCCCCGCCCTCCCAATCATGTGATTCAGGTGTGCCCCCGCCCTCCCAATCATGGGATTCAGGTGTTCCAATCCCCTCCAAATCATGCGATTCAGGTGTTCCAATCCCCTCCGTATCATGCGATTCAGGTGCTCCAATCCCCTCCGTATCATGCGATTCAGGTGTTCCAATCCCCTCCGTATCATGCGATTCAGGTGCTCCAATCCCCTCCCAATCATGAGATTCAGGTGTCCCAATCCCCTCCGTATCATGCGATTCAGGTGTCCCAATCCCCTCCGTATCATGCGATTCAGGTGTCCCAATCCCCTCCGTATCATGCGATTCAGGTGTCCCAATCCCCTCCGTATCATGCGATTCAGGTGTCCCAATCCCCTCCGTATCATGCGATTCAGGTGTCCCAATCCCCTCCGTATCATGCGATTCAGGTGTCCCAATCCCCTCCGTATCATGCGATTCAGGTGTCCCAATCCCCTCCGTATCATGGGATTCAGGTGTCCCAATCCCCTCCGTATCATGCGATTCAGGTGTCCCAATCCCCTCCGTATCATGCGATTCAGGTGTCCCAATCTCCTCCGTATCATGCGATTCAGGTGTCCCAATCCCCTCCGTATCATGCGATTCTGGTGTCCCAATCCCCTCCGTATCATGCGATTCAGGTGTCCCAATCCCCTCCGTATCATGCGATTCAGGTGTCCCAATCCCCTCCGTATCATGCGATTCAGGTGTCCCAATCCCCTCCGTATCATGCGATTCAGGTGTCCCAATCCCCTCCGTATCATGCAATTCAGGTGTCCCAAATCCCCTCCGTATCATGCGATTCAGGTGTCCCAATCCCCTCCGTATCATGCGATTCAGGTGTCCCAATCCCCTCCGTATCATGCGATTCAGGTGTCCCAATCCCCTCCGTATCACGTGATTCAGGTGTCCCAATCCCCTCCGTATCATGCGATTCAGGTGTCCCAATCCCCTCCGTATCATGCGATTCAGGTGTCCCAATCCCCTCCGTATCATGCGATTCAGGTGTCCCAATCCCCTCCGTATCACGTGATTCAGGTGTCCCAATCCCCTCCGTATCATGCGCGATTCAGGTGTCCCAATCCCCTCCGTATCATGCGATTCAGGTGCTCCAATCCCCTCCATGGACACAGGTATATACAATCAAGCCCCTAGGCATGCAGACGGCTTCTACAAACATTGGTGAAAGAATGGGTCGCTCTCAGGAGCTCAGTGACTCCAAGCGTGGTCCCCTGATAGGTGGCCACCTGGGCAATAAGTCCATCCGTGACATTTCCTGGCTACTAAATATTCCACCAACTGTTAGTGGGATTATAACAAAGTGGAAGCCACTGGGAACAACAGCCACTCAGCCACCAAGTGGTAGGCCACGTCACATGACAGGGCGGGATCAGCGCATCCTGAAGCGCACAGTGCGCAGAAGTCGCCAACTGTCTGCAGAGCCAATAGCTAAAGACCTCCAAACTTGGTGTGGCCTTCAGATGAGCCCAACAACAGTGCATAGAGAGCTTCATGGAATGGGTTTCCATGGCCGAGCAGCTGCATCCAAGCCTTCCATCACCAAGTGCAATGCAAAGCGTCGGATGCCGTGGTGTAAAGCACGCCGCCACTGGACTCTAGAGCAGTGGAGAGGTGTTCTCTGGAGTGACCAATCACGCTTCTGTCTGGCAATCTGATGGACGTGTCTGGGTTTGGTGGTGGCCAGGAGAACGGTACTTGCCTGACTGCATTGTGCCAAGTGTACAGTATGGTGGAGGGGAGATTATGGTGTGGGGTTGTTTTTCAGGGGTTGGACTTGGCCTCCTAGTTCCAGTGAAGGGAACTCTTAAGGTGACATTTTGGACAATTTCCTGCTCCCAACTTTGTGGGAGGAGTTTGGGGATGGCCCCTTCCTGTTCCAACATGACTGCCCACCAGTGCACAAAGCAAGGTCCATAAAGAGATGGAGGAGCCAGTTTGGGGTGGAGGAACTTGACTGTCCTGCACAGAGTCCTGACCTCAACCCCATAGAACACCTTTGGGATGAATTAGAGCGGAGACTGCGAGCCAGGCCTCCTCCCCCGACATCAGTGCCTGACCTGACAAATGTGCTTCTGGAAGAATGGTCCAACCTTCCCATAGACACCCTCCTAAACCTTGTGGACGGCCTTCCCAGAAGAGTTGAAGCTGTTATAGCTGCAAAGGGCGGGGCCAACTCAATATTGAACCCTACGGACTAAGACTGGGGGGGGCCATTAAAGGTCATGTGTGTGGGAAGGGCGGGGCCAACTCAATATTGAATCCTACGGACTAAGACTGGGGGCCATTAAAGGTCATGTGTGTGGAAAGGGCGGGGCCAACTCAGTATTGAACCCTACGGACTGAGACTGGGGGGCCATTAAAGGTCATGTGTGTGGAAAGGGCGGGGCCAACTGAATATTGAACCCTACGGACTGAGACTGGGGGGCCATTAAAGGTCATGTGTGTGGAAAGGGCGGGGCCAACTGAATATTGAACCCTACGGACTAAGACTGGGGGGGGGGGCCCATTACAGGTCATGTGTGTGGGAAGGCCGGCAGTCCAGTACTTGGGGCAATATAGGGTGTGAGGGTGTGCAGTGCGCTGCAGGGAAACACAAAGGGGTGTTAATAAGAAGTGTGGCCTCCTTGCTGTATACATGGCACACGTTTCTCGCAGTCCTTCTACCCACAAAATACTCTGCGGTGACGGATCTGCAAATGACAACCCAACAGACACACAGAAACCTCCACACAAAGGATGGTCACAGTCACAGGATGGAGATCTCTCTCTTCATGGGGAGAAGACGAATACTTACCTGAGCCGGCCCTAAGGAACCTTAACAAAACTACTTAGCAACCAGCAACTGCTAAGGCAATAAACCGGGGTTCCTCCAGAGATTGATCGGGTTCCTCCAGAGATTGATCGGGGTTCCTCCAGAGATTGATCGGGTTCCTCCAGAGATTGATCGGGGTTCCTCCAGAGATTGATCGGGGTTCCTCCAGAGATTGATCGGGGTTCTTTCCACAGGTTGCCCGGGATTCCTCCACAGGTTGATCGGGGTTCCTCCAGAGGTTGATCGGGGTTCCTCCAGAGGTTGATCGGGGTTCCTCCAGAGATTGATCGGGGTTCCTCCAGAGGTTGCTCGGGGTTCCTCCAGAGATTGATCGGGGTTCCTCCACAGGTTGATCGGGGTTCCTCCACAGGTTGATCGGGGTTCCTCCACAGGTTGATCGGGGTTCCTCCACAGGTTGATCGGGGTTCCTCCAGAGATTGATCGGAGTTCCTCCAGAGATTTGATCGGGGTTCCTCCAGAGGTTGCTCGGGGTTCCTCCAGAGATTGATCGGGGTTCCTCCAGAGATTGATCGGAGTTCCTCCAGAGATTGATCGGAGTTCCTCCAGAGGTTGCTCGGGGGTTCCTCCAGAGGTTGCTCGGGGTTCCTCCAGAGGTTGCTCGGGGTTCCTCCAGAGGTTGCTCGGGGTTCCTCCAGAGATTGATCGGGGTTCCTCCAGAGATTGATCGGGGTTCCTCCAGAGGTTGCTCGGGGTTCCTCCAGAGGTTGCTCGGGGTTCCTTGATCAATGAGCAATTTCTGCCTCTCAGATAAGTTTCCCTGTAGGAGGGAATTCTCAGTCACATGTCGGGGACATTCTTCCCGCTGACTATCACACCGATGTAGCAGGACTGGCAGATATAGTCATTATTAGTCGGGGTTCCTCCATACTGAAAAGGTTGAGAAAGGCTGCAACAAACACTTTTTTAAAGGAGTATGTAATGCCAGCACAGTGTATAGGGGGCAGTAATGAGAAGTATGTAATGCCCAGCACAGGGTATAGGGGGCAGTAATGAGGAGTATGTAATGCCCAGCACAGTGTATAGGGGGCAGTAATGAGAAGTATGTAATGCCCAGCACAGTGTAAAGGGGGCAGTAATGAGAAGTATGTAATGCCCAGCACAGTGTATAGGGGGCAGTAATGAGGAGTATGTAATGCCCAGCACAGTGTATAGGGGGCAGTAATGAGAAGTATGTAATGCCCAGCACAGTGTATAGGGGGCAGTAATGAGAAGTATGTAATGCCCAGCACAGTGTATAGGGGGCAGTAATGAGGAGTATGTAATGCCCAGCACAGTGTATAGGGGGCAGTAATGAGAAGTATGTAATGCCCAGCACAGTGTACAGGGGGCAGTAATGAGGAGTATGTAATGCCCAGCACAGTGTATAGGGGGCAGTAATGAGTATCTAATGCCCAGCACAGGGTATAGGGGGCAGTAATGAGGAGTATCTAATGCCCAGCACAGGTATAGGGGGCAGTAATGAGGAGTATCTAATGCCCAGCACAGGGTATAGGGGGCAGTAATGAGGAGTATCTAATGCCCAGCACAGGGTATAGGGGGCAGTAATGAGGAGTATGTAATGCCCAGCACAGTGTATAGGGGGCAGTAATGAGGAGTATCTAATGCCCAGCACAGGGTATAGGGGGCAGTAATGAGGAGTATCTAATGCCCAGCACAGGGTATAGGGGGCAGTAATGAGGAGTATCTAATGCCCAGCACAGGGTATAGGGGGCAGTAATGAGGAGTATCTAATGCCCAGCACAGGGTATAGGGGGCAGTAATGAGGAGTATGTAATGCCCAGCACAGTGTATAGGGGGCAGTAATGAGGAGTATCTAATGCCCAGCACAGGGTATAGGGGGCAGTAATGAGGAGTATCTAATACCCAGCACAGGGTATAGGGGGCAGTAATGAGGAGTATCTAATGCCCAGCACAGGGTATAGGGGGCAGTAATGAGGAGTATCTAATGCCCAGCACAGTGTATAGGGAGCAGTAATGAGGAGTATGTAATGCCCAGCACAGTGTATAGGGGGCAGTAATGAGGAGTATGTAATGCCCAGCACAGTGTATATGGGGCAGTAATGAGAAGTATGTAATGGCCAGCACAGTGTATAGGGGGCAGTAATGAGTATGTAATGGCCAGCACAGTGTATAGGGGGCAGTAATGAGTATGTAATGCCCAGCACAGTGTATAGGGGGCAGTAATGAGTATGTAATGCCCAGCACAGTGTATAGGGGGCAGTAATGAGTATGTAATGCCCAGCACAGTGTATAGGGGGCAGTAATGAGTATGTAATGCCCAGCACAGTGTATAGGGGGCAGTAATGAGTATGTAATGCCCAGCACAGTGTATAGGGGGCAGTAATGAGTATGTAATGCCCAGCACAGTGTATAGGGGGCAGTAATGAGTATGTAATGCCCAGCACAGTGTACAGAGAGCTGGTGTCAGACTTTTATCACATACAGCATTGGGCTTTGCAGCGATTGACGCTTTGACGAGCGCCAGGCGTTTCTTCTGCCAAGAGGAGGAGTATTTTGAAAATGTCCCGCATGCGCGACGCCTGAATAGAGGGATCACTGATCTTTGAAGGCAACAAAGCTGGCGGGACTCAGGGCAGTTCTGAGGGCAGATCAGGTCAGACTAATCTGATTAATGGCGATTTGACTCTTTCATAGCGGCTGTGGACCTGGGCGGGGCTGTGGACCTGGGCGGGGCTGTGAACCTGGGCGGGGCTGTGAACCTGGGCGGGGCTGTGGACTCGGCATATCTTTAGTTCAGGAAAGCTTTGATACGATTCCGCAGAATAATCATCACATTTATTATACACACTTAACCCTTCAATGTATGGAGACCAGAGCATGGCTGGACATGGGGAGCACAGAGCCATCACTAGGGGGGTCCCCGGCAGGAGGAAGGAGGTCCTGATTCCTCTATATAGATCTTTATATCACTAGAGGGGTCACCGGCAGGAGGAAGGAGGTCCTGATTCCTCTATATAGATCCTATCACTAGAGGGGTCACCGGCAGGAGGAAGGAGGTCCTGATTCCTCTATATAGATCCCATCACTAGAGGGGTCACCGGCAGGAGGAAGGAGGTCCTGATTCCTCTATATAGATCTATCACTAGAGGGGTCCCCGGTGGGAGGGAGGAGGTCCTGATTCCTCTATATAGATCTTTCTGTCACTAGAGGGGTCACCGGCAGGAGGAAGGAGGTCCTGATTCCTCTATATAGATCCTATCACTAGAGGGGTCCCCGGTGGGAGGAAGGAGGTCCCGATTCCTCTATATAGATCCTATCACTAGAGGGGTCCCCGGCAGGAGGAAGGAGGTCCTGATTCCTCTATATAGATCCTATCACTAGAGGGGTCCCCGGTGGGAGGAAGGAGGTCCTGATTCCTCTATATAGATCCTGTCACTAGAGGGGTCACCGGCAGGAGGAAGGAGGTCCTGATTCCTCTATATAGATCCTGTCACTAGAGGGGTCCCCGGTGGGGAGGGAGGAGGTCCTGATTCCTCTATATGGATCTTTAGTGGGACCTCATTTAGAATATTGTGTCCAGTTATAAAGATCTCACAAAAAAACATTGATAGAATAGAATGAGTCCGGAGATGATTAACAACAATGGTGAACGGACGAGGGGGGGGGGATAAAACACATCAGGAGCGACTTCAGGAACTTAGTCTGGAGGAAAGAAGGGAAAGGATGGACATGACT